TAGAATTAAGGTAATAATCTTACAATTTTTTCCTTATATGTACAGTGAAACGTTGCATAAAAACAAAAAGCTTTTACCTATATATTCATGTAGGAAAAGAGAAGAACCTATGAGCCAACAGTCCCACAGAGAACCAGCACAGCACAGAAAATAGATGAAAAAAATCAATATAGGGACTATATTATCTCTGTATTACTGATAGCTATATATCTACAAGTATTGAAATACCTACATATGTATGTAAATGCTATAGATTACCGGTTTGATTCTTTGCAAAGGCCAAATATAATTTTGAGAGTATTTTACAGGAAAGGGTTAAGTTCAAAGAGTTTTTATGTCAATAAAAGTATCTTTCATTTCTTTTCATCCCCTTCCTGACAGCCTAGTCAAGACAATTTTTTCCCTGAGGACTAGCTTTCACTTGGGAAAGAAGTGCTATTTTACTTGATATTAGCTAACTCATGGTAAGTGGCAGTCAATTACAGAAGGCTAAATTCACACAATTTGGCTCTTCCATCATAATCTGTTTCACAAGCTAAAAGAAGGAATGTAAAGCATATGAAATACTAAGCACATTAAAGCATATAATGTACTAAGTACTTAAGTGACTTCCCTGGTGTCATTAGGAATACTAGAGACTAGACCTAAAACATTGTCGACTATAGCTATGGCCACTCTCTGGCTTTTTGGGAAAGGTGAAGAAACTAATTGAGAAACAGTTTTCACTTAGATGCACAGAAACAGACACATTCTGTTATTGTAAAAAATAGCATGCCGTTTCGCTGGCTACTGGAAAAAAATAAGCAGAGAAGCATATTTTAAAAACTATGCAAAAGATAACTAATGAAACAAAGTGTTCTGGTTAATTCTTTATTTTCAACATCAAATACATTGATAAAAATCTTGCACCAATCAGGTAGCCAACAGATTTTTCATTTAGACTTTTTTAGAACTTTTTTAGGTGCAAAACAAAGAAAAAAAAACCTCACCAAAACAAAGACATCAATAATTTTTTATATGCATCAGTGAAAGAACAGAATACATCAACAAATACATTATGGCAGCTGAGCCTATACCAAAGAAAGGACTTTCCATTGACAGAATACATAGTGCACACAAAAGCATTAGTTTTATAGTATATACAATAAAGTGATACATAAAGTGGCTTGTTAATGCAAGTCTCGTGACCAGCAGTCTATCCCTTCATTTTCCGATGGGCACTTTCTGAAGAAACAGACTTCTAATTGTAGGCACACAGGAGTACAGAGCATACTAATTTGCAAGATGGCAGCATATACTTTTTTTAAATTTTTTGTTTGTTTGTTTCTTGAGGCACATTTGAATGCAAAAGATTTTTTTTTTTTTTTTTTTTAACACAGTGCAAAACTGAATACCCTTCTGGGCAACAATCACTTTAAAAACAACTTTCAGGATATGAGGCTATCTACATCTGAAAGCTGAAAGGGAATTGTGAGTAGAAAGAGTAGGACATTAATATTAGGGAAATATTAATTTACAATTCTCAGATCAATTTGAGATTATGCTATAATTGCAGGTGACAGCAAAGACTGGTTTGTATTACGATACCGTCGTTAACATGACCTTTCTTTTACATGTGTTGAATTTCTATCTGTAAAGCTATATTACTGTTGTAGATAGCATTGAAAATAGCCATCTATTTATACAAAGTAAGAAATGCACTTCACGTAAGTTCAGCTCAGAATACCTTATATACAAAATCCCATTAGCTTTAGGTTGGGTTGCATTCTAATTTTAAAGCAGGTTATTATATACACAAGAGAGGCTTGCTGTGTTCCTACCAAAGCCTGTGATAAGACTAAGGCCCTAGTGAGGCAGAATTTTTACATTGCTGGTAGTTTGTTTCATTTTAAACATTTGGCACAACTCTTAAGGAATCAGTCGGCATCAATTAGAATGGATGGAGGCTCCAATACAAACCCTGGCTTGGATGAAGGGGGTGGTTTGGGTTTTCTTTTATTTCTTTTTTTTCAATTTAAAGTCCAGTGACCTGCTGACAGTCCTTGCAATGTCCTTGGGACCTCAGTTCAGATTATTTCTTTAGTTATATTTTTAAATTATTAAACCCCTCAGTGTACAGAAGGAGAAAAATTATCAAGAGATGTCACTGAAACATAATAGTAAATTTACCACAAACACACACCAAGAAATTCTCTTTAAATTATTTTACCGCAGTACAAATCCTACCACCCCAACTGGGAGTTTTACCTGAGACAAAGTCTGCAACATTGAGACATGGCTCAAACCACTACAAACCAGAGTAGCTTTCACGTATTGTTGGAAACTCAGACACCACTAAGTGCTACACATCACCCTATCTCCTCTCCTGTCTCCCAAGCTTTTTGTAATAATTCAGTAACAGCCATTTTCTCAAGCAAAGCAAGTTCATCTGGTCTATTTCTGTTTGGCTTGTGCTGGTATTACATTACCTATGTTTCTAGGGGGTTTTGGGGGGTTTTTTTATTTTTTTTTTTTTTTTTTAAAATCCACGTATAAACATTATAAAATAATTCCTTCATTAGCTGTCCAGAGACATCGCTATGAATGTTTTGGTAAAAGCATAATTAGCTGCCTTGAACAGTTTTCTTTCAATTTTTTTTTTTTTACATGCTATATATTTTTATTTAATATCCAGCACCAGGTATTCAGGTAGTACTGGTTTGTCAGCTGCAAATATAAAGTATATATGTATATATATATACACACACATAAAATAGCATCCTGTGAAATAACAATTACCAAATGTCAGGCACAATTGCTTGCATACACGAGAGCATAATGCAAAATTACATATGAAAAAAGTTGCCATTTTTGTATCGTAGACATTGTTTAATCAATTGAATAGCTACATTCAGCTGTCTGATATGTGGACGATCATCTTTAAAGATAACTATGGGAAGGTTACTATATTCATTAAGGTGCTGCTTCAGTTAAAATCTCATGAATAAGTTAATGACACAGATCCTGAAACTGCCCCAAGGTAAATGAATGTATTACCGGGAATCACTGTTTTTCTTTCTTGGGTGACCTTCACTGTTGTCACCACAGACATGGGAGGACTGGTTGAATTTAAATTACTTCCTTGCAAGGGCTCAGCCTAGGAAAGCGTTCATAATTAAGATTGTGAGCTGACTGATTACCCCTTATGTTCCAAGACACATTTTGATATCCTTCTGTCTGCTGCATACCACTTCAAATGACGCTTATCCAGCTTCACCGGGAAAACCTGTAGAGTGTTGTGGTACTTGCCCTATGTAAGTACCATCAGAAGCTGACCCTCTGTTGTGAATTGCTCTCCATGAACTACTTTTTTTTCCTCTAGGCCAAATTTACACTTGAATTGATGTAATGAACTGTTCCGGGATGTAGAAAGGGAGGCATTCATGTAAACCAATTTGCCTTGCAGCTGAAGAGGTTGATCTGTGTGTTCTGTCATAGAGAACAACAAGTTGCATGTACAGTATTTAAAGAGCAGCTCTAACGCACACTGGCCTACAAGTGAATGCTGATGGTGTAAGCACATAAGTGTAACTACAGGGATTCCTGTGCTCCATTCAGATCTTAGCCTGCACTCAATTCAGGGCATTTATGATTTTTCTAACACATTTGAAAATCAGCTCATAAACAAAACAAAATGTGCATTTTCTTTCAAGGCATTTAGGAGCCCTCCAAAAGCCCTTAGTTACCAAATTTGCACACACACACACACACTCTCTCTCTCTCTCTCTCTCTCTTACTGAATACACAAAAAGACAAATCCTTCAGCACATTCAGAAAAAAATGATGCGATAATATGCATCAATAAAAGACCTGTTAACTTACAGTGACTGCTTCACATGTTTAGGCTTCAGTTTTCAAGGAATCTTCTCAAACGTAGGTAGCATCTAGCTTTAGACTTTTAAACTGCACGTATCCTCGGATATGTACATGAAACTGTTACATTATTATGTACACTCACTAAAGAATTGAATCCCTGACTTGGAGCACAAACTCATCCTATGCCTTGCTGCCTTCACAATTGCTATGTAACTTGATCTCACTGCACACAGACTCTGCTTGTGTAACAGGGAGCGTGATTAGACATAGGCACTCCTCTACAGCATTAGTTGCACTATTTCCTATATTTAGTTACTACAGGATATTCCAATCAACATAATCTAAGATAAAGGTTTCAACTGTAGCAGTAAAAGAAGCATCCCTGAACCCTTCTCTAGCACTGTGGCCAGCTGCTGTGGAGCAGCCTACGCATGTACTATGAAACATCCTTACTGGCAGGGTGGTCGCGTCCAACCAGCTATTGGAATAGTCCCTGGTCCATGCTAACTCCCAAGCTGCACCTGTAAACCAGAAGTGCAGACAGAACAGGCAAAGTTTATCATTAGACTAATAAAATGTCCCTGGCATATGTAATAATCGCATTCCAGTACCCAGCAACGTTCCCTGACACATTTAATTTTCTAGCATGGAGGCAGTCAAACAGCAGCACCGACTTCTACTTTGAATAGCACATAGCATGGATTTCTTCCGTCCCTCTCCTTCACGTCTTGCTGAAACTCTTGATGTCAGTGGACCTTTTGTGTATTTACAGTTGGTCTGAAGAATCTGACTAATCCTTGTGAAAAACAGTTACACACGTGCATGGAGAAAGCCAGATTTATCTTCTTGGACATGCAGTCCCAGAGTCTTCACCATGTCAGGATGAAGGGGGAGGCTCATTGCCCAGTTCTGGTGTCACAGGTGAGCTGGCTCTTAACAGTGATTTCCGAGTATGCCCCAATGAGAGCCAAAGAAAGGCAAGGCAATGCAAAGCCTCCTGCTCTGGCTGTGATGCCAGCCCTCCCATACACGGCTGGGCCACGCTCTACTGAGCGGGATGGGAGCAGTGCCAGTCTTGCACTGTTATCCTCACCCCTTGGTTTGTAGCACAACAAAGCAAAGGATGGGGAGAGGTTTTTTTATAAAATAGTGCTGTATCACATATGTGTGTGAAGATCTGGGGTTTTTTTTAAGACTTGATGATTTTTGTAATCATCTGGTCTCATTTAAGAGTAATTATCTATGTTATCACTGTTTGCCATGTTGCCCTTGATTTACACGCTGCCAAGCAACAGAACAATTTAGCTTTGTAGGATCAGACAGGATAGGATGCACACAATGCAATTCGGCTAGAGGATGGGGTAAGGGGCCCTAAAAGTTTGGTCTTGAGAGGGAGTTGTCTGCTGATGTAAGCCAGCAAGGTAAAACAGTATTATTCTCAGACAGGGGTTCCTTTCTAATGTAGGAAGAAGAGAGGCAGGAATCTACCTAAACTACCAAGGCTGTCACTAGCAGTTCAACTTCAATGATGTGGCACACTAAGATGCCAGTCAACTTTCCATTTACCCCCCTGCCCCCCAAAAAGTCCTCCAGAATCTCTACCAAACTGCTTCAAAGTTTCAAGCAAGTAAAGGATTAAGCGAGCTCAGAATTTGGGGTGGATATCAACAAAGGCTACCACTTACGAAGATACCAATATGCATGGGTGGTATGGCCTATTAATTTATAGTAAAATGGATGTTCAGTTTAGGTTAGGACTTACCCAACTTACATGCAAAATTAAATAAAAACACTGTGAATTTTAAATCAAGTTAGCCCAACAATCCATGCTGGCTGTCCGTAGCAATGAAATGTCTTCCATTTAGGATAAGCAATCAATTTACACAAGCACTTGACAAACACTCAAATGGAAAATGCAGGTGACTGTTGTCATTGGAGTGTTTACATAGGTGGCACTATAGATGAAATGAAGCATGAGCTAGGTAGTACGCTACTGGGTTTCTCATACCATTATATATGCTGACTTTTGTTTATATCGTATTCTGCATATTCTCCTCTTCTTTGCTGTTTATATAAAAAGACTGCAAGGAATGAGATGAAGTTGATGCAGTTGTCAGCTGGCTTCGGTTGTCCTCTTCCATCGGTGCAGCACTCCTGCCTGCTGGGGCATGCAGTCGGTGAGCGTCCAGCATCTCCAGTAAGAGATCATAGAGTGGAACTACATTTTTACACTTCATATTGTACAGGTGCTCCATTCCTTTGTTACTGTGGGTTGTAACGAAACAACGGTTACTTTCCAAATATGCTATGGGGAAAAAAAGCTATCGGCTAATAGTATTTGTTAGGTTCATATAAATTCCACCTTGTACAAAACAACTCACTTAACAGTGCAGTTGCTGTATGCTCCTGCTACAGTTAGCAGAAGGCACCTTCAAAGAACATTTCAGACTGCCCATGAGCAAGTTGCCTTCTAAAGGTGGCTCTTTTGCTCTCCTTTGCCTAAAAGATAGCCTAGAGCACATGGACTCCTAATTTAGGCTCTGTGATTAAGTGGAATCTTGGCTTTCCCATAATAAAACCTAAAATATCAGATTTTTTTCCTAGAAAGTAACCTCAGCCAATTTGTTAGCAAATGCTCACTTGTAATAGTATCCATTCACAAAATTATGGAAACAATAATTAACTTCACTGTGCATCTGGAGCTTCCTTAATTGTACAAATTCTTCTTAAGGAAAAAAAAAAAAAGGTGATTAACATGAAGACAAAGAGACTCCACAAAAAGACACAAGTAAAAAAAACACATGCACACACCCCTTGGCTTTTTCCTGAAGACCTGTGTATCAGCCCAGAAGGTAAAATCTGCCTGTTTCAGCTTTAGTAGCTATGCTGTGGTTCTTACTCTAATTTTAATTTTATTAACTGAAATAATGAAAATTAAAATCTGTGTAACAACATCTCTTGTCCTTTCATAAAAATAAAGTCTATACTGTATCTTTGTCATGTTGTTAACACTCCAGCCACTGAGCAGCTACCTTAAGAGGCAATTACGTTTGGGAGAATCATTGCTGCAACTACTAACAGAGTGCCTCAGGCACCTCACCTCTAATTAGCAAAGGGCACAGTCCTCTAGGTTGGGATTCAGGAGATCTGCATTTATTCTCACCCATAAAATACACATAATGATCCTAATCTCTTTTCTAAAGTGATGTGCAATCAAGCCACTTGTGAAAAGTGGCTACATGAAAGTGATAGTTTTAGTAAATCTTACCTTATAGGAGTTTGCAGGCTACCGCTACTTTAGTATTCTACTTGGTACTTTTCAAACACATAACATTAAAAGCAGATACTGCTTACAGCACTATCAAAACAAGAAGCAAAGGAAAAGAAAACTAGAAGAAACAAACGGGGAAAACGATTACTCCTTTCACACCATAACCCAACATACTTTGCACGTGTTTTCCACACATGTTCCATACATCTTTATGGAAAGTGGACTTTTTTTTTTTGGTAACAGCTCTACACACAGTTTTCACTCCCACCTGTGAAGGAAAAGTGTGCGTGTGCACTTGTGAAACCTCCCTTGCACGGGACCTTGCGGGAGGGCTGACTGCGTGCTTGCTCTCACCTCATGTGTCTGATGTGAGAGAGGATGAGGAGGAGCTGAGCAAGTCGCCTGTGCTGCTGCTGCAGAGAAAGACCCGACTTAGCCATTAAGTGTATCAGAGTGTCTGTGATTTTGTCCAGAACACGGTGAATATAGTCTCGCTCTTCCAGGGATTTCAAGGTGCTGGAAAGAAAAGTGTACACACCTGGAGTAGGAAGGAGAAAGAAAACAAACAAACCACAGACAAAAATTACTTTGATGGAGTCAGACTTGCCCAAGGTACGCCTCGTGGCTGGCCTCTTCGGCTGTGTTAAACCATGGGAGCTGACTGTGTGCAAACCCTCCTGCTTGCCAGCCAGGTCGCTGGTTTGAATGACCCTGGGCTTGGATTTGGTCACTGTGGGCAAAGCAGGAGGAGGAAGATGATGCCTCTTCCTTGCCCGGGTCCATCCAAGGTCTGGGCCAGGTGGCGGGTGAACCTGCAGCCTGCAGCTGGACCTACCTACGGGCTGCACTCTGCTCTCAGTCACTCGGCTCTGAAGCCTTGAGGAGATGCTGTTGCCCCTTGAGAGCTCTGCAGTGCTTACTGACCAGCCCAGGCCTTCAGCAGTTTTTGCCATTTTCTTTGCTGTTTAATTGCTGTTTGATTTTTGGTGGTTTGCTAGTCAATCTAGAACTGAGTAATATGTTGCCACAAAACGTAAACAAAATCAGGGTTTGTTTACACACACTTGCCTCAACAAAAGCCTCCCAACCAAGCAAGAGCCTTGAAAGGTGTGCTCCTTCACCTGCAAACCCGACTCTCCTTTAAAAACCAAGTCCAAAGCAACCTGTGTAAATTTAGCCATCTTACATTGCTTACTGCTGAAAGTGAGCAGCCTGAAGATTTGGACCAGAAGGAAATTTTTCCTGAGATCAAAACACCTTCAAACTCCCCGCTCCAACAAACACTCTCCTATAAAACACTCTAACCCAGGCATAAGAGCTTTTGCCAGTAGTAATTCTTGGGTGCATGAAGAACATCAGCTTTCTAAATGGGAAATTCTAAACTATTTTGCATGTTTTTATCTTGAGTTTGTTCTGGACGACAACACACAGCCCATGTGAATCAGGTCACAACAGCACTGTGCTGCCAAAAGGCAGCTGTTGCATTCAGCTTTTTCAGTCTTCTGGATTGAGCCGATAACTCTAAACAGGTTGTATTACTATAATCCAGTCCTGAGGCAGCAAAAGCTTAAAATGTATGTACGGTAATACAATCAAACTGGCTTGATCATGCTGTGTTCATTGCCCTGTGTCAATAATGTACTTGACAAATCCTGTGCTTTAGCGCTTCTGCATCAGCTCACAGAGCCAAGAAGAAATTTGGATTTTGTCCTTGGAAAAAATTGGTTTCTGGAATTACTTTTCATTTTGCTTTTCTTTAAAGCATCATGTATAACACAATATACAATGCAGTTAGTGATATTAAGAAAAGACCACACACACACACACACAAACACGCACACATACACAGACATATATACTTTAGCTTGTTTGTAGCTATACCATCGGATTTGAAGATAAGAATATTTTGCCATGCATCTGAGCAGTCAGGGAAAAAGACTTTTTTTTTACCATCTTCTTGGCACACCTCACCTCCTCACAGCATCTTGGTACTTCAAGAACCTGACACCTAGAACTACTGTAACTTGCAAGTAAGTTTTATGACTTTGGGTCTTCTGTACTAAAAAGAAATATAAATTTGTGTTTGTGAATGTCAGTGTGAGTTTCTCTGAGGGAGAGAGAGCGAGTGAGAGACAGACTGCTTTAAAAACCCAAAAGGATAACTCAAACACAGCACAACTTCTGAAAACTGTCAGTCAGATCTTTTAATTTTGATGATGAATATTGCTTCGAATTTGATATAGATAGATAATACAATGGCCTCTTTTCTCACAAAGCTTTTTATGATTATTATTATTTTTACTGAAATGAATTCACCAAAGAGAAACAGCTCCTGGGGCTTTTCTCAGCTGAATGACTCTTAACCACCGTTACGTATGCCTACTGACAATACCAGGCTTTATAGCTTAGCAGATACCTGTAGGGGCAAGATTCTTAAATTTACGGACAAAACACAGTCCATTAGAAGGAAACATTAGTGTCATAAACCCACAGTGCCTCCAGAGCAGCTTACTTAGCCAGAGGATGCTATTGTGACCTTGTAGCAATACCCCTTAGTTTCATAACTTTGAAACCAGCAAAAGAAAAAAAATCTGTTAGGAGGAATTGTTTCTCACTTAGGTCTAGTCCAGAAGCTATTAAAAAGTATAAATCAAAAAAAGCACTCCCCCAAAAATGTAGAGACTTCAGGCAATTGCCAGTCAATAACTGCCAAGAAAAATGACGTTTGGTTTTCCTTTCTGACCTCCCAGGTGATTGCTCCTGCCCCAGGCCAAAGACCAGAAATTTCCCCAAAAGAAATGCCAGCTATCCATCACACACATACACACACAAGCAGAGTTTTGGAACAAGAGTGCAGAAAATTGTCTTTGCAAAGTGAATTTTAACAGTCTCAAAGGTCTTTCCAAGCTCTGAAGCTGAAAGCAAGCCGAAATTTAATAGCTACCAGGTTGTTTTCCAGCTCTTTCTGTAGGTCAGTATTGTAAAACATGATAGGAGCGAGAACAGAGAAAGCACCACCCTGCAAACAAGTAAAGTTTATTGGGCCGTGCCCATAACACAAAGCTATGCACAGAACAGTGTCCCTCAGGGACTGCAGTGCTACCATGCCAGCTGTATATATCACTATATATAGTGATATATTTTTGCATATTACTGTAGAGGATAACGCCCTCTACATCTTTTCTGTCACAATAAACACCAGTTTAAAATATCTTTACATTTAGTGTTCAGGCTCACAAAACAACACCCAAGGCTCTTCCCCTTCCACCATGCCCCATTGCTCTGGATCTGTAGCAAGTCAGGCTGAGCTATGAGCAAATTCAGCTCTGTACCGTGCACTGGTGTAATCATCCAGCCCCCAAAATAGAAATGAAGAAAGAAAGAAATAAAAAGCACAGTTTAACAGGAGCTGGAAAAATCAGGAGAAAAGAATAACAGAGAGTCACATGGAACGATATATCAGGAGGTCTACAGGATGCATAAAATCAGCTAAATCTTTCCATCTCTATGGACTAACTATCTAACTATTTAACTAAATCAGCTGCTAAGGCAGACGTGACCTACATCTTCATCTCCAAAATGAAAGCCTGTTGCTTTGCCACATAGCACCACTCCTCTTTTCACACACACTCAAAAGTAAAACATCTGGCATCATGTTGCCCTTTCATGTTTCTAATAATACCTATTTTACAGTGTTAAGAAAGAGTTCTTTATTATTGAGTTGAATGTGTTTTTCGAAAATACAATTTTGCTTTTTAGTTGAAAGATTTACTGCTCCAGCTTTAGAGGGGCACCTTCTGGTTTGTTATTTAGCCAGAGACAATGCTGTCCTTGTTGCTACAGACATGCTGTCGCCTTGATATCTCACGACAAATTTGGAAATAGCGTAAACGTGTATTTTGCTTGATAAACAAAAACCTTCCATCTTTTCCACATGCACTGAGTGAAACTAAAAAAATTCACTTGCATTTTTCCCAAGACCACATGGAAAAGGAGTGTAAAGATACTAAACAGCCTTGAAAGATGTTGCAAAAAAAAGAGAAAATAAATGTCCAACAAAAGCAATAGACAGCACTACCTCATGTGAAGAGACTAACAGATGTCCAAGGATTTAATAATGAAATGTTTGTGTACACTAAGTGAATTAAATCCACATGAAGCTTTAGAATGCAAATGCAGACTGCTTTTAAATATGAAGTGTAGCATAATTAGTCCAATTTATTTAGTCCACTTTTTAAAATAATTTTGAGATCAGATGGTTTAATCATATGCGTATATAATACAGATAGCATAAGGACCAAAAATTCATTGTGTGTTTATCTGCTGTTTCTTTAGTAGAAGATTTGTGTATATTTACATGTGCAGTCATTGAAAAAAATCAGGTTAAGGGAGGCTTGGCGGTCATCTAGTTCAACCTCCTGCTCAAATAGTGGTAATGTCAGGGTTAGGTCAAGCTGCCCAGAGCTTTGTCCAGCTGAGTTTTGAGTATCTCCGAGGATGGAGATCCTACCATCTTTCTGGCCAACCTTTTCCAGTGCTTAACCTCTCACTGGGAAGATTTTTTGTTCTGTTCATCTAGTCAGGATCTCCCTCGCTGTGGTTTGTCTCCATTGCAGCTTGTCCTTTCCTCTTGCACCTCTGAGAAGAGTCTGGTCTTGGCTTCGCCATAACCTGTTCATCAGCTATCTGAGGACTGCAGTTAGACCCTGCCTCAGCCTTCTCTTTTGCAGGATGAACAAACCCAGCTCTCTCAGCCTCTCCTCATACGTCATGTATGCCATGTGCTTCAGAGCACATATTTCATGTGTGTCCAACACTTTACCTAAGGAGGCTGGCTATATTCTGTGAAGAAAAGCACCTCCAGAAGAAATTTTAGAGTATCTATGCCAAACGACAATTAAACAACTATTATACATACCCCAAATTATGCTACTTATCTCTGTAATGCAGTCTAGCCTCCTAATTTGGGCATTTAAAGGGTCTGACAGTCAGAAACTCATGTCCATATTCCCACCACCTAGTAGTTAACAACTCTTCCGGTTATAAAATTAGTTGGTTATAGGAATGCAAAAACTGAAATGTAAAATTAATTATCTTTATGCATAAAGGCAATTACAAGCAATACAGACATACATTCTGTGGCCATATATACATACACATTCAGTATACTCAGATATACTGCAGTAAGTGCAGTATGCAAGCCAGAGTAATACATGACGCTCTGCATAACAATGGTATAAATAGCTTTCATCATGAACCTGTAACAGCTCCACTCTAACCATGCCCTCTGATGTATCACCATCAAGACTCTTGTAAAAATGCCAGACTTCTGAGCAGCCATAAACTCTCATTTAACTTGAAAATAACCCCACATCAGAAATCAGATCACTCAGATCATCAGATCAACTCTGACCTTCTACTACATAGAGCACCACTGACTGGAACCTGCTGAATATGAACCTTGAAGGAATGAAGATCTGGTATCTCCTAGCCTCACTCAGTGGTCCCATCTCTCTTACATGCAGAAGGAACTTTGCCTCTGATTATCACTGACTTCAATTTTTTTTACAATTTTTCCTTAAGGGAATCTTGAAACAAAAATCCTATTAACAAAGTGAGACGTGCTTATGAAGGATAGCTGGTGATGTCTGGCAGAGCTTTGTCTAAAAACAAGTTTAGTTTTCTGGATCAATATTAAATACAGCAGTAGGACAAAAACCCTCAATAGCATGGCTTGAAGTCTTCATGTTCAAGACATGAACATCTAATGTGTTTTAGTCAAACTTCCAATTCTATTTTTTTTTCTAATTCTATCTCAATATTTCTATAAATCAATTACATATTCTAGATTTATTTAAGAGGATAATTACATTTTGAACATATTAGCTAAAAATCTGGAGGAGCATCACTTTTCAGGAAGAACATTTAACTCTAGGAAATATTCTGTTATAATTATCAGGACAATAAAAAGAAAATAAAATGTCAAACTAATTGGAATAGAATAGAATAGAATAGAATAGAATAGAAGAATAGAATAGAATAGAATAGTTGGGATTGGAAGGGACCTTTAAAAGTCGTCTAGTCCAACCGCCCTGCCATGGGCAGGGACATCTTCAACTAGGTCAGGTTGCTCAGAGCCCCGTCCACCTGACCTTGAATGTTTCCAGGGATGGGGCATCTACCACCTCTCTGGGCAACCTGTTCCAGTGTTTCACCACCCTCAATGTAAAAAATTTCTTCCTTATATCTAGTCTAAATCTACCCTCTTTTAGTTTAAAACTGTTCCCCCTTCTCCTGTCACAACAGGCCCTGCTAAAAAGTTTGCTGCCATCTTTCTTATAAGCCCCCTTTAAGTACTGAAAGGCTGCAATAAGGTCTCCCCGAAGCCTTCTCTTCTCCAGCCTGAATACCCCCAACTCTCTCAGCCTTTCTTCACAGGAGAGGCATTCCATCCCCCTGATCATTTTCATGGCCCTCCCCTGGACCCGCTCCAACAGGTCCATGTCCCTCTTGTGCTGAGGGCTCCAGAGCTGGACGCAGTACTGCAGGTGGGGTCTCACCAGAGCAGAGTAGAGGGGCAGAATCACCTCCCTTGACCTCCTGGCCACGCTGCTTTTGATGCAGCCGAGGACACGGTTGGCCTTCTGGGCTGCAAGCGCACGCTACTGGCTCATGTCCAGCTTTTCATCCAGCAGTACCCCCAAGTCCTTCTTGGCAGGGCTGCTCTCAATCCCTGTGACACCCTGGCATCCAAGATAAAAACAATAGCCCTTCATTCCTAATATGCCAGCTGCTTGCTTCAGATGTCGCTTTGTGGTAATTGGTGACAATGACAACAAAACCTGAACCATTAACTACATTAATATCTCATAGAACATAAATGGAATATTTTATATTTGATTGTATAAATATATAATTTTGCTTGAATTTTTTTTTTTTTTTTTGAATAGACCAAGTCCAAGTTTCCATAAAGGAAGAAGTGCCTGATCAATAAAGCAAAGTCTGCTGTGTTTAGAATTAGCCTTTGGTGGGATTTACCTGAATTTGTTTTTCATGCAACTTGGGTAAGTGATCTGTTAGACCACTAGATAAAAAGGATATACAGCCCTCCACATGTGTTTTGTCTAGAGGTTGGTACCATCTATGAGTTCAAACCCAATAGGAAAAAGGGTGAAAAAGTTGGTAAATCCTCAGGGTTGGGAAACACTGGCATCTTTAGTCATTAGGTAACAAATTAGCAGAGAATTGAGTCTAAAATTTGACTTTGGTGCCTACATTATTATTTTAGACCTCTATCATTTCCGTGAGAACACTGTGGGCCTCATTTCTGCATTTAAAAATAAATTGTCTGGAGTTTTGTCTCATTTCAAACAGAAAAGGATCCTCTGGCATGCAACAGAAATTTTCTGCCACATGCCTCAACTTGAATTTACTTATTTCAGTTGTCTCATGCAGAATTCAAGTCAGCTAAGCTTACATATTTATAGCTATACCTACACTTGTTATCTGTTTTTGAAGTGTATTTCAGAACAAGATTTACAGCCCAAAAATACTTATTTTATCAACTATAAAGGAAGTGGAAGGTGATGACATCAGTTTTAGATGCCTGTATTTTAATACAAACTAAACCATGATAAACTCAGCCACATTTTTGCCATTATTTCCTTTTATTTTGCCATCGCCAAAAAAGGAAGGTGTAGATTTACATCTAGGCATTGCCTTTGGATGCCCTAAGTGTGGCTCCAGCTACTTCAGTGTCTTGTAATCGGAGCTTTAAGACCTGCCAGCACCTAGTTCAAAAGACTGCTCTGATCTCCCCTCACATCAGCTGTACGCAGTGTATCAGCTACTTACTGCATCAGTTTGCTGGGTCCCATCTACATCACTGAATGCGTTTGCCCACTTCCATCCCTGCCTGGTGGCTCTGCCTGCATCTATGTTGACAGCCCCCTTTCGACTGCGGCTGTCTCAAGATGAAAACGTCGTTAGCGACAACAAGCAGCATTCAACCACATGCAGAAGCAGCCACAATTACCCGAGTGACAGCAGAGCACACCACTTACCAGAATTGAGCAGGATGATGGACTTGAGGCACACAAATTCCTCCCCTTGAAGGTTCATCAGGCGAAACCGAGCAGCAGTAGCCAGCAGCATGTCAAAGATTTCCACCATGCCCTCTACACATTTCCCTTGATTCCTGTGTGAATACCATTAAGGGGGAGACATTCACAGCTTTAACCTGGTGTCAGCATGAGCTTTTCATCCCCTTGGACCATCCCCCTCCAATTTGATTTCGTCAGTTCAGTAGCGAGCACATGACTTCCTACTCTATGCTCATTTGGTGTATGTGTGATTACAAAAGCATAGTTCTCAGTATCCCACATAAAATGAATAAATAATGAAATTCTATATTCCACAAAAAAAATGTCAATTTCATAAACTCATCACCAAGGCATTACTGTGGTGGAATGTATGATTGATTCAACCAAACATTTACATTGAGGAAAAGATTTGTTTAAAACTACATTTTGGGTTTTGTTGTTGTTGTTGTTACTTTGTTTTCTCTTTCTTTTTATTTTTCCTTTACTGAAATAGTCCAAATTCTTTGCATTTCTCCCTCCCTAATGTTTTGTACTTATTTCTACCTGGCCTTGCAATCTGTAATGTTCCAACACACTTCTTCCATTTTTCTTGTATCAGCATAATACCTCCTTAAAGAATAAGCATATTCTTGAGCTCAGGAAGGACTTAGGAGGCCAAAATCTTGTCTGTATGACTGAGGAGGACTTAGGAGGCCAAAATCTTGTCTGTATGACTGAGTCTGATTAAAACTATCACTTCACTCCACAAATCAGACAACTTTTTACATTACAGCATTAAACAAAGCTAACGTTTGGGAAATCTCAAAGTGTTCATTAGTAATGGCAACTAACCACCTCTCTCTGCTCACAATACTAGCTATTCTCACTCACTAATTTTCATCTTGCACACCCAACCCGCAGTTCAAGAATTAATGCAGATCGTAATTATTTTTAATGAAAATTAGTCTGCAGATTTTCTGGTCATGGAATTTTAGGCCATTTACATTGCTATCTTTTACCAAAAACTACCTACTTTTACTTTTATTGGGACTTCCTGAGTGAAATTTTAACATGTAAGACTTAATGAGTGATCAGATCTGCTGTTTATGAACAAAATTTTGAAGATCATTGCTATAGGAAAATGCAAAAGGAATTTCAAATGATCAGATGGCTATTCCACTATAATTTGTAACGCGAACACAGACTGGGCATCTCCTAATCTCATTGTGACAAAACCAACATTGACTACCAGCATAGACACATCTGCCTCAGTCCTGATACAGCCATGCTGTTGAGACCCTGTAGCTAATGTCTAAACCCACACCAGACCCCCAGACAAAGCAGTCATCCTTCTTTTTGACTACAGCCTGAGAAAATTCTTTGCACTTCTCAATCATGTCTAAACCTAAAACTGAATCAAGACGGAGAGGGGGTATCTGTGAGCACTCGCGCACCAATCTCCTTTCAAGTTCAAATCCCTATTCAGCTTAATTTGATGCTTGAACTTAAATCTACACCTCCCTTATCCCAGAGCCGTGCCGACGAACCAGTGACTATGGCATATGACAGAAGCTATTTCATCTGCTTTCAGAGATATTTAAACAAAGCAGGACAATATCAAGAAAACAAAGTGAGAGATACTCCCTTAAAACAGCCAGTAGGGTGTTGGTTAAAATACAGTAATATTTGAAAACATGGGGTCCCAAGCAAGTTTTCCAATCACTTTTACAATAGCACACGTTCTCTGACTTTTCTGCGAGAAAGAGATGATCCAGCCTTGGGAATGGAAATAGAAAAAAGTACGTTTAATAAGGAGGATGGATTGCTCCTTCTCGCCTCAGATCCCTATGGGCTACTAGGCAGCTGCACGCTGAGCACTCCTGAGAAGTGTCTAATTCTTCCCACGCATTTCACTAGCACTTAGCTCAGAACTTGATTTCCATTGCATGGCAGGACCCGGTCACAAGCTGCAACACTTCGCAATGCAACTTTCATGGTCTTTTCTGTCTCTTAAAAATTTTGCTGAAGAAATGGTGGTTTAAACTATAGCAGCTTTTTGAGTATGACCAGCAACATTGATAATTTCACATGTTAGGTTCCCACAGACGATGGTAACAAGTGCAATGTAAAAGGTCATGGACAAAAGTCTGTCTTAAGATTAACGGGCAGGCAGACTCAATGCTATGTTCCATGTAAAGTGTGTGATGCCTTTTACGTCCTCATTTACAATGCCCTGACCGATGAGCTGAACTAAAGGACTGATCTCAGCTTGGTATATCTGAACATGGCTTTACTGAAATTCACAGTTCTGTCTCTTGCCTGAAGGCTGAATCTGAACTCAGAAGGGGAGTTTTCAATTATTTGATGACCTATCAGTTACACTGTTCAGTGCTGGCTGCAGAGAGCGCTTCAGCAATGACCATCTTGCTGCCCTGATGAATCCTGCTTAGGCAGAATAAAGCTGAAAAACTGAACTGGTTAGATTCAAGCATATTCCTCCTTTGTTTGGACAGCAATAAAATGAACAAAGACAAACTAGTATTTAATAGCACCATTGTCAAATAAAAAATAAACAAAAATCAGGCACTCAAGGCATAAGAATACAAACACTTGCTATTACCTCAAAATCTGTTTTGTGTGCTAAAATTTAGATCCTATGGAAGTAAAAAAAACCATGAATTTTTACAGTAGTGGGACAAGTTCCACTCCTTCTGATACAATATTTTTGCCTATAATTAGAGAAAGATTAACTTTGCATATATAGAGTTAAGCACAGTTTCAGAGGACTAAAAGCCTTTAATATTTTTGCATTAACTTAAGTAATGCCCCAATAAAAGTTAGTTTAAGAATTTAGAATTTCAGGATTACGCAGAAAGGAAAAGTTTCAGTGGATCATATGGCAAATGACCCATATTAAAAAAAAACCAAACCAAACACATCTTCATGTGTGGCTAAGACATTTACTTGCTTCCTAAAACCCATCAAACTACTGGCAGTGAGTATTCAGAACAATTCAAACTATTACACAGTCTGAACAGATTGCAAAATTTTCATAGCCAAGACCACAATTTAAAAAGAAATAGGAAGTTATTTGTAAAATGAGACCTTTTAAAATGCCTTATGGCGATTCATAAGATGGAAAAGACATTTTGATAGCAAGTAAGAATTATTCCCAGGTATTTTTTACAAAAATAGTTCAATGGACTGTAGTTTACAAGATCATTATTCCAATTAAGATCCTCTTGCTGACAAGTACAACCTCTGGACAAAAATCTCTAGTCCTGCAACACATAGTCCGTGTGCCTAAATCTCCATGTGTGTCTATTTCCCACCAACTGAACTCATATGGTAGATGATAAATAAAAATGATGTGAATTTAAGAGATTCTAAACACTTTCTAATCTCATTTGCTTTGCTATCTGCTGCTTGTGATATACCATGCTATTCTATAAGAAAAAGAAGAGTATCTCTTTAGGTAAAGTACTTTAGATGAAGTTAGATACCTAGCTTTATGTATTCATGCGTGCAAGCAACAATTTAGAAATTTCTGTTTTATTTTCAGAGTTAGGCAGCTCACCCAGCTCCACTGAAATCAGAGGGCACTTAGTAGGAGCTTAGTATCTTTGAAATGCAGGCTTCTAATCAAATGTTTTTATTATCTAGGCTACAACACTGATTTTCTTTGTTAACCAACAAAACCTATCTGAAATAGGAATCTCCAGTTCTCCTGAATTGCCTTCTAACTTTCTAACATAAGCCGATAGTATTATCACATCTTCACAGCTGTATGTCCAGTTGATAGGAAGGCCTATCTAGGAAGGCCTAGATAACTTTCCTGGAGGACAAATTAAGCAATAGATTTGAAAATTATCCTTATCCCACCATCATGCTGTTGTCTTTGTGTACTCTCAGCTTACTGAAAACAAAACAATAAAAGCTTGTTTACTGCAAAGCATCAGAGTGTATTCTTAGAAGAATCCTTAACACTTGGCTATTGGGAAACGATTAGGAAAGTTAAAGCATGTGAATTAAAGGTCTTAAGTTACTGCATAAAACTACTATGTTCATTAACTTTAGTAAGTCTACAGAATCACAACATCATCCAGTTGAGGATGTCTTTACCCCAACCTCCCATGCAAAGCAGAGTCAGCTCACTCAAGGCTTTATGCAAGTCTGGTCTTGAAAACCTCCAAGGATGGAGACTGCACAACCTCTCCTCTCAGCTTAATTATTTTCATGGGTTTTTTTCTCCCTTATATCCAGTCAGAACCTCCTCTGCTTCAATTTATGACTCCTCTTTCTCAGTCTCCCATCAGGCATCTTAATAAAGAGCCTTGATAACCTCCTTGTAGATTTTAGATTAGGCATGCTTAAAAGCCATCTCTTCTCCAGGCTGAACAAATCAACTTCTCTCAGCCACAAGGCATGTGCTCCCACCTTAGTGGCTCTCCACTAGGTTTACTGAAGTTTACCAACATCTTTCCTGTAATGAGGGGCACAAAGCTGGATGTGGTATTCCAGACATGGTCTAATGAGTGCCAAACAAAAGCAGAATAATCCCTTGCTCTACTGCCTACGCTACCACTGATACAGCCCCGGATACTGTTGGCTTCATTGCTGCCATGTTGCAGTACTGGCGCACGCACAGATGGCTGTTCAGCACCTCAGGTCCTTTCCAGCAGAGCTGTTCCCCAGCTAGTTAGGCCCCAGCTTGAACAGTAGCAGTGGGTTAAGTCCATCACTTTGCATTTCTCCTGGCTGAATTTCAGAGGTTCCTGTCAGCCCATTCCTCCAGCCTGTCTAGGTCCATCTGTATGGCAGCTCTGCCCTCGAGCATATCAACTGGTTTGGTGTCATCTGCAGATTTGAAGACTGTGCACTCTATCTGCTCCTCCAGGTCATTGACAAAGCCATTTAACAGGACACGTCCTAGGATAGACCCCTGAGGAACTCCAACTGTAACTAATATCAACGTAGAGTGAGAATCATTAACAAGAGACCTAATTATTTTATCACAGAAGGCAATCAGGTTGGTCAAGCACAATATAGCCTAAATCTATGCTAATTCACACTCACCATCTTCTCCTTCCTGTTCACATAAACAACTTCCAAGA